AGGGTCTTAGACAGGTACTCTCCCTCTGCCGCTCAGCAATGGATAAAGACGCACGTTGGACGAGTTGTCTGAACGTGCCCGCTGTAAACGCGCTCCATTTTTCAATCAATTTTCCCTGTGGTCCCAAAACGAGCACGATTGCCGACGCGTCCAATGACGGCCGGCAAGGGGGCGGGATTGGGGAAATCCCCAAGAACACCCATGTTTGAGGGACTTTCCACCCTGTTTTTGAGTTTCTGAGGTAAGTTCGTTTATTATTTCCACTGCATATGTTCTTCACTAGGGCTCGTGTATCCCTCAGTAGTAGTGGCATTGAAATTTTCGGACCCTCCCTGAACTGTTGCTTTAAGGATTTTTTCCAGTATTGTAGATGCTCCTCTCGAGGTTTTTGGAGAAATTGAAGGCAGAATTTACTATGAAGAGTCAGCTCATTGGAAAAAGGGTGGAGGTGGTCAGTGGAGCAGGGATGAAGAAGAAACCATTTGAAACGGCCCGAAACCCGAGAAAGGGACCCCTTCCTTGCCCGTTGATTTGCGCATTGATGCGACTCTCATCGCTGTGCCCTCTTCAACACTACGCTTATCTAATCACTCGCCACGTATAGACCTGCGGCGAGTGATTAGATAGTCGGTGGGCGTACCCCGCCAACCGCGCCAAGAGTGAGCCATGCTAGATCGCCGAGGTCAAATCTTTCGCTGCCAATTGCGCGTCGGTCAGCACCCTCAGGAGGTCCGCCTGTCTCCCAACTATGCAATTTCCCCTTCTTTGACCTTCGTTCTTATCGTGAATTCCTCCTTTAATTTATGGTAGATACTTGACGCTGGAATTTCGAATAAAGTCGATGGAATTCGTATTTATGACAATTTCTGGCCACTAGTACTAAATTAAAACTATGTGAACTTACTTTCTAAAAGTACTCATAAGAAAACCTAAATCATAGTACAACAACGGAGCAAACACCGAGATGACTATTCATTGAGACTCGACAAAATCAACAAAGATAAATACATAGATCTGACAAAATCCGAAGATACGCAATAGCAGAGTCGTTCCCTAGCATTTTTGGGGATAATCTACCGATAGCCACGCTTATGAAACCCGCCAATTGAAAAATGCTCGCTATATGTTGATTGGTACAATAGCACAGAGCTGATATACACCAACAGACCGTTCGACCATCGAAAACACATCTTCCACCTTAATACTAAAATAACATACGATTTGCTCGATTCCGAATGTGCAAACAATGAGTCGGCGGAACGAATTAGAAGCGAAGTTCTGCAATGCGTGTTCCTTTGGCCGCTTTTCCAACTTTGCTTTCCGTTGGGAGGCTTCGGTCCTCCTCGCTTGACAACTGAAATAGATAGCGTGTAGCAATTGAATATGATAGGGAAACACTAACAAAACCATGACTGTTACGGGCATACCAAAGAAGAAACAAAAAAATTGCCAAATGCATCAATGAGGGGCAGCCGTATGTGGGGTAGTGGAAAGAATGTTTACTCCAAATATTAAATGAATGCAGTAAAAAGACAACGAAAAGAACATTAAAGCAACAAAACAATGGCACACCTTAGGCGCAAATGAAGCCGTTTGACCACACCCTGCTGTACGGCCAAGGCGGATGACTGTTCTAATTTGGACGAAAAGGCAGTGGAACTGAAACAAGAAAAAAATACAAAATAACTTTTTTTTGGACCCAACGATTTAACCTATGAAATAGTCCGCATGAAAAAGGCTAGCCCACTCATTTGAAATACAGTGCTTTGCTGGCAGCAGCACCAAAAAATGCTGAGTGTAAATAAACATTTCTACAACTACAAAATTGAACACATCCGTTCGAAGGGCTAAAATATCAAATATATGATATCATCCAGAAATTTTGAAAGATGAACGGAAATAATGCCGAAGGGATGACTTCACATTGCTACGACCGAAACTACTACATAAGTGCGGACGAGTTATCCCAGGCTATGGGCTCATGCATGAAAAATATGTTGAACTGGCTCTAGATGAGTTACCCAACAATTTGCAAATTTCTGGTACTGTTATTCATTGCGGCATACATATCATACAAAATTCTGAACGGTAGACTCTGTTTTAACTCTCGCTACTGAAGAAAACTTACATGTCCTGTTAGTTTTGTCTTTAAACTTGGATCTTTGTTGTGATAACGTCGCTTGTGGGATCACATTCACCACCGTGCCGACAGCTTTTGTGCGGCCTTCACGGAAAACCATGCGAGTGCCTGAAGCGGTGGTCGTTTCTTATAGGCCTGAAGAAGCGTGTAAGTTGCTACCTGGTCGTATATATTCTGGCAGGCGAATGAATCTGAACGTCACACGATCTCGATCACCGGTACGCAGCACCTCCTGTAAAATATTGGTCAAGCCCAACATTTTAGGTTAAGGGAGGAGGGGAGGAGATTCCTCAGGATGCCGCTTTCTCTGAATATTGTATTGTTTCATTTCTGCAATGGGACGCACTGGAACTAATTGGTGTTCCTCCGTCCTTCCCAATACAAGTTCTGCAGTGGCTGGGCACTTTATATGGGGATCCGCAGAAAGCGTTGCACCTTCACAAATGTCCTATGGATACAATTTAAAGCGAAAGAAGAACTTTTATAAGCTGCGGCCGTTCGCAGCTGTCGACATTCAAGGGCGACGGCGAAAGAAGACAGACTCATAAAACGGAAGCAGAAGGAAGATTTGAATAGTCGCAGAATCATTGAATACCTTTGTCATGCTAACAAGTGTTGCAGTCTGCCGAATGGACCCAATATGCAGCATAGCTTGATAATTGGGCTTAATCGTGGTTGGATGATGGAGTATAAGAATCTATAATGAACATGTTTGGCCAGAACAACTTTGAAAATAGGTCATTCGCAACAGGACCCAAACTACTCGTCATGACAACTCAGCCGAAGAATTCGAAAATTTAAAAAGAACAATCTTGTAAAAAAGAAGAACAAACAAACTTCAGCTTCAAACTGCATACTAGAGATAGGGTTCAATCGAGGATCCACCATCACCATGCCTTTCCTGACTTCGCGCTTGGTGATTTTCCTAAAAAAACGACTACATCTTTCCTGACGCTACTAGCTAATGATTTCTGTTTAAAAATCTCAACATGCTTTGATCTAAAATCGCATGGCTATCCAAGATTGGACACCATCAAAAATTTTTGAAAGATTACTTGGCTTCAATTAAGTATCATTTTAACAATAACTAAGAGAGGAAATAAAGGTTGTGCCGCTGCTACGCACGCGGTCCGAGATCCCAACACCGGCCCCGAACAACATATTGGTCCAACTCTCCTGGGTTATCCAACGGGTACTGCACTCAACCAACAAAGCCACTACGAAAACAATGAAAAGTAGCTGCCCCAAACACCTTTTCCCCTAAGTCAGTGCATGAGCCAAACCGCAGACATGTTACTGTTCCTGCTGTTTTCGAATGTCTTTTTCAATCATGACAAGGCTTCTGATGGGAAGTTAGCTATAATGCGGTAAACTTGCTCTCGTCTCATGGCAGAAACTGAAGTGCACAATTTGTTTACACACGATTACAGGATCAGGGATCTAGGTCTGCCCGAGAGAGCACCACAGCATATACAGACGTCCCCGACGGCAGACAGGGAGCAAGGCTCGACAGCTTTTCAAATTACAGAACGGTGTGACAAAAACGGGCATACCAAAGAAGAAACAAAAAAATTGCCAAATGCATCAATGAGGGGCAGCCGTATGTGGGGTAGTGGAAAGAATGTTTACTCCAAATATTAAATGAATGCAGTAAAAAGACAACGAAAAGAACATTAAAGCAACAAAACAATGGCACACCTTAGGGCAAATGAAGCCGTTTGACCACACCGAACACTTGAAACCGGCATACGTTTTCGATGAATAGACTTGACAGGCAGTGGTATGAACTCCCCCACGGAATTAGGACCAAGCAAGAGTGTATCGTTGACCTTGATGGTTCCAGCAAGTACTGTTCCAGAGACAACGGTACCAACTCCTTCTACCCAGTAGACATCATCAATCTGAAGTTATGAATAATGTCAAGAAAGATGCCAAAGGAAATAAAATGATGATATGAGAAATAATGAAAGAATAAATCAAAACAACCAACTCGAAAATCAAAATAATATGATTAAAAAAAACTAAGTGAAAAAGGAAGCCAAATAAGCGAGCTTGAAACATACTTGGAAATGTGCCGGATCCCCTTCACAAAGTGTACGACGCAATGGAACAATATTCAAAAATTGCCGGAGGAGATCGAGGTTTGTTCCTTCAACGTTGGAAACTTGGAAAATGGGGCAAACTCTAAACATTCACAGGATATTTCTCCGAGAAGCTGAACTATAGGACAATATGGAAAAGAAAACACAGATAACGACATGGCTCACCGTTTACTGGGGAAATTTACAGCAGCATGGACCACATCATTCGTGTTACGCACCATGACAGGAAGCTTCCGAGCTCCAGCACCTATGCACAATTTCCATTAAAGTTTGATCGCAAGAACTGAGTCTCACAAGGGCATACTTTTTACTAATCGTCCAATATTCTTCATTGTCTCCTCCAATATCTGAGGCGGACACATATCTATCTTCGTGACCTGAATCAGAATCGTATCCCGAATTCAATGCACACCATCTTCTTGTTGCACTGAGGAATTAAGAATGTGCTCCCTTATAGCTGCGAGTCCGAACAAATGTAAGCAAGATTCCAAAGTGATAAAAAACATGTAAGCTACCCTATGCATTTACTTGAAGTAGCAAAGCCTAATGGCCCAACAACCTTGTCTTGCGTTTCACTGCTTACTTACTGCCTATGGCCTACCCCTGCCTCAGCCGTATTCTCTGAGCATAAGAGATGGTTTAGCTACGCTTTCCCTCAATGTTCTTCAACTGAGCATAATCGGACATTGAAACTATGTAAAAAGAATTTAAACCTAAACGGGTAAGTTCTAAAAGAATACACGGAAGAAAAACTAAACGTACTACAATGAATACTGGAACTGAAAGTGAAAGCGCAAGAGATAAATGCTCCTTGGTAGTTCCGATAATACCCATGTTCGCACCAACCTAAAAGTATAATATAATGGAAACGCCAACCACAACGAGTACAACACAGTTATCAAGAAATTTGAACGACGCGAGCAAAGGTAAATAGGAGTTATGAAAGCTTACCATAAGCATTGTATAATCTGGCATGTGTCCTGTCATTCCAAATATTGTTGTTTTTAAATACTTTTCATGCCCAGCCAGATCAATAAAAGTTATCAACTGCAAACAATTTTTGAAAGAAAATGCCTGTCAACTTGGAAAGCCGAAAAGAAACGGACCTTGCAGCAATCTCTGCTTATTTGCACCCAGTCGAGATTATTATTATGCGGGTCGGGTTTATTAACTACCGTACCGTGAACATCGAAACCAAGGATGTCGTTACCAACTGAAGAGGTGCGGCCAGACTCGAACTCATGTTTATGCCTGGAAAAAAGACTCAAATTCCTCAGCACTCTAATTTCTCGGGTCCTCATTCCTCTTCATAACAGCTCATTGGTTCCTAGGTTAGAAACATTAACGCTGATTCTAGAGTAACGCATAAAAACACTAATAGGATCAAAAATATCCAAACCTCTTCAATATGGAATCATTTCGCGCTTCACCTACCTGAAGAGCTTCGTGCGAGCGAGACCTCTTCCGTCATCAAGAGCGCTATGGGTCAAAACACCTAACAACGTCGATTTCCCCGCATCCACATTCCCGACCACAGCAACTCGAACCTTTAATCAGTTTCACAGCAGAGGCCACAATACAAGTTTTAGAGAAATACCTCAATGAAATCTTCCTCCTTTGGTGGATCTCGCACGATCCACACTTCTGTGGACTTCGTACCGTTGGTTCGTGTTTCGATTTTAGTTCCTGATTAAAGAACACATAGATGACAAAGACAGATATACTAAGAATCTTTTTACAGGAGTATGAAAGCTCGTTAATAAAGTGGATTCGACAACAAACGCACCTATGGCCGGGATACTTGCAAGAGCTTTGACGTGATTAGCCACAGCTACTTCCATGTCTTTTGTTGGTATGCCTGATGCTAAAAAACAAGAAGGAATCAAAATGTCGACCACAACTTGCCTGTAGGCAGGATATAAGGTAACAATTTTGGAGGTGACTATACAAAATGAACCAGTGAAGACACAAAAAAGAAGAAACTGCATGTATGTGCAGGAAAGGTCCCGAACGAACAGTAAAAACAAAAAAAAAACTCGAAGTAATTTAAAAGCACACCTTTCCCTCCTTGGTCGATGGGAACACCTATTTCGACCACCGTTTCGCCTTCTCCTTCTAGCAACATTTTTCGAATATGGATTACATATCGCTCAATCTGGAAAGTAGCTCGGTTATCGAAATGCAATAATGCGAATCAAACCGTGTAGAATTTATGCAAGACACAAAGAAAGCGTGATTACTTCAGTATACGAGAAGACTCTCTCACTGCACGTCGTCAAGACAAATTGGGTACGACGCAAGCTCAGACCGACAAATTTGAACTATGGTAAGTCACTTGCAATGAAACTAGACGCTATATCAAGTATTTTGCGAGCAATGGAGAGAGTTGAAGAATAGATGGCTTCGATGAAGAAAGCTCGAACAACAATTTTTCAGGCTGCCACTGCAACATCAGCATCAGGGAGTGGGTAGGCCTATAGAGACTTAGGAAAATTAAGAGAATCTACCGAAGTAAATCACATAGCCATTGTTATGTGGGCTCATAAAAACCTTGGTCGCCCCATATTCCTAGAGGAAGAAGGAGGACAAGTGAAGAGATAGAGGTAGAGAGAGAGAGAGAGAAAGAGATGTCTCTGCAAAGAACTTCTGCTACTGGAAAACAAGAAATAAAACACTACCTCTTCCGGCTTGTTCCTTACAAGAAAAAGTGCATCCAGCCCACCATCCTTCCCAGCCGAATCATCGTCATCGGAATCTTAATTGCCATTCTTCAAAATTAGAAACTCACACTCCCTTTCCGAATTCGTTATTTTTCACCCATTTGATTTTCAGCCGAACATCCACGAAAGGAAGACGGTTCGAAGACAAAAGGACAACGATATAATAGGAGCTAACCATAGAGTCCGGCAAGACCTTCGGCTGTCTTCTTGGCAGTGGCGACATTTCCATTTGCGGTAGATCCTTTTGGTGACAGTGACGCCTTTGATGACTCAGTTGGTGTAATTGTTTCCGACTTTGAGTTTGATATTCGATCCATCTGAAATGAAAGTCACAGTTCTATCGCTCAATTCGCGTCTCAAAATAAAGTGCAAAACGCTTAGTTTACAAAAAGAAACAGCTGAATAATAGCATACAACCAATCATGAAAATTGAGATTTCGCACAACCTATTTAATCACTAACACACGCATTCTTTAGAAAGTTAACAAAACCTTTGAAATATACTGTCGCCTTCTGAGTGAAGGTGTTAGAAAAATCTGAGTAACACGAATACGAAGTCAAATTCTTTCTTCCAACGAAACTAGTTAGCTCACATTACTCTTCCACCGAATAAGAACCAGCCCATTTGAAGATCACAATGGTTCTTATCTCCAAAATACGGCAATTTACGAATCGCTACAGCATGTTTGAGCAATGTTGCACAATCTTCTGTAGGATGCAGACACAATACTGCGGCTAGGTCCCGCAACGAAGGTTGTGGGTGGGGCTTGGTTAAAATGAGGTCGTTGCAAGAGGGTGCCTTTGTGGAATGTTTCTTTTATTGATGTTGTATAGGAGCGCTTCAACAGAGGATCTGAAGTTTCAGTGTTAACAGGCAGTTTATTCTGTGGGGAATTAAATGCAGTTTACTCGAGTTGAGTGCTTCAAAAAAGGCGATAGATTCCTTTTTTCGTAGAGCCTCTTATGAATAGTAAGTGGAGCTGGGTCTGTTCCAGTTAGGAGGGGCATTGCGGTGCACAGTCTGCTCTAATGCCAGTTTGGCTCAAGGAGTCCTTTAAAGTTACGAGTGCTATCAGCTTTTTTCCTACGTTGTTTCTTCTGGTTTTTGTATAATGTATGTGTTCTTGTGCTTTGTAACATAAACGTCAATGAAAAGTAATATTTACCTAGTGATCAGCTAGGACTAAGCCTAGGAAGGGGGAGGAAATCCCCCTCCCCGAGAAAGCGAAGATTGCTCACGAACCCGTGGTTTTCCCTCCCTTCTGAGCTTAAAGCAACAATCCAGGAACGAATTCGCGGGTAAGGACCACCTATAATGACGTTGCAGGTGAGAAGTTGGTCAATGGAGAAAGAAAAAGTAGAAAAAAACGTCGGGCAGGGGCTTAGACAGGGACTCCCCCTGCCGTTTAGGGAGACGTGTGTTGGACGAGTTGTCCGAACCTGCCCGTAGTACATGCGCTCCAATTGCAACTGCTGGCAAATAGCCATGCATGCTTGCAAATACATAACTATTTGCCAGCAATCGAAATTGAAGCGCTTCAAGTTGCGTTCTTATAGAATCGACCTCATACAGCGCGGCGGTCCCGCAACGACCGCTAGTCGAGCGCTCTGCACAGCTGCTTGGAGGCGGCCCCACCACGGATCGGTGGATCCGCCCCTCTTGAAGGATTTCGACTGCTTCCAACGCCTTTCAGAGGTAAGTTTTGAAGTTTGTGACATTTCCCATGAACTCCAATCAGGCTGAGGCATGTTTCCACCACTTGAAAACCAAATGGTTGAAACCCTGCCTGGACTGTTGCTTTTAAGTGACTTCTGTGGCCCTTCATACGGATGATTGAATGGCGCGCAGGGGAGGGGGGATAAGGGATGCGTAAAATTGCACCAGATTCAGAGAAATGCTCAGTTTTGGTGAAAACCTTTGCGAAGAAGAGAGAATCCGAGTGCGTATACAATTACCATTTTCTCCAGAATCCGTTCCCCTCAGGCTTCATCCTAGTGGCCTTCGTACTGCCCTCCCCCCAAGGCAGCTACAGCGGGTGAGTTTTTCTTGAGGCAATACAAGAATTCGTAGCCTTCACTGAATTGAATGAAGTTGTTGAATTCGAGTTAGGCTGGATGAGACCCACTACGTTTTTTGGTCACTTTCAACGTGCATGGAAAGCTCCAGCTTCGTTCTTTTCACGGTAACCTTGGAGGGGGTGGCGGCATGGAAAAACTCTGGTCGGAACGAGGAACACGTCCATTTTAGTTGTCACCAATGTTCGTGTTCGATCATACTTGTTTGCGCTGTGGTTTGCGCCTGGGAAACGAGTTACTCGAGTAGCAGTCATGAGATCGACAATCGATGCACCGCTCGTGTTCACATTTTCAGTAGCCTGAATTGCGTCGCATTGTTTCGCCATTAATTATGTTATTAGCAGCTTATGCATTGACAAAGCGTTTTCAGGCTGCTGCCTTGTAAATGGATGGAGAGGTACAACGATATGCTCGACAAAATATTAATGCGGCCGGTCTTGGGATTCGTAACATACGTTCTGGAGCTGCGACGGTAGCAGTAAGTTTATCTATTATGCTTGAAGAAGTTTTTAGATAATGACTACGGTTTGTTTGAGAAGTTTACCTGTTGAAATAGCCTATCATCAGCAGCTTTGTAACCATATTTCCAGGTATATGTTCGATTTCTTAATCTAACTGATGTAGATGTGGATGTCATTTGGATTAATGAAGAGGTGAGCTCGGATTTACTCACCCTTTTTCTTTTTTTGTTTCAATTTATTTCCCAAATCAACAAACTTTCGCCTGAATTGCATTAACACGTTGACGACATCGCGTGTTTTGGCATTTTGCACCGCGTGGGACAGGAGCGATTTTGCGAGCGCGCCGTCCTCACCTTACTTCCGCTTTTTTTGTTTAAAATGCACAACAACTTGAATCTCATAGAATTATTTCGGCAAGGATGAAAGCATAAAGGTTAACTATATAAAGCAGTAGATTTTTGTTCAGAAGAACGCATAATGACCACGAAGAAGCAAAAAACATCACTTTCGCTGCGGAATGTTAAAAGCATTTATACCTAAGTTCTTCCATCAAATACAAATATCTTGAAACTCACAGAGTTTTGTATTAACTGCTTCTACAATCTTTCATATGAATGTTAACGACAGTGAAAGGAATACCAGGAAAGAATTGAAATGAAAGTTTTGTGCGTTCAGAAAATTTGCTAAATCAGGGATATTTGACCACTCTGGCTGCCATGTGGTTTATAGTTATGCTAATGTATTATCTATGCAATGAATGCACAAACTCGAGAAGAAGGAGCGCAAGCACACTTAAAAATAAGGAATGAAATAGTTCTGCCAAATGCGTCCAATGCGGTGCCAAATTTCTGACGCACATGCGCGTCAGCCCGTGGTCAATGTGTTGAGATTGTTCCTAAGGCTGCGGTAATGTTTGCGATTTGCGATTTTTTTGTGGTGTAGATGCGGTATGGATTGTGATGGGTACTGAGAAATTATCGTTTTATTTAACATTTTATAAATCGACTCGCGGTGGTTTAGTGGGATGGTACAGACAGAGATCGAGTGACAAAGACGATTCTAACGTATTATCGCGTGAGCGTAAGTACATTATGCTTATGTGGTGTTTCCCTTTTTGTGAAATATTCACCCGGCCCCACCGCAGACTGACGCGTCGTCGAGCGGATGCGCAGACGACGTTATGGTGATAAATTATATATAGGCATAGGCATATCTTCCACCGGTAGTTAGTGTTGCAGAGTTTACAAATGATCACCAGGGAATCGTGTTGATTCCTTCTAAGCTGATGGTAAGGAGCCGGTGAGTATACTGGCTCGTTCGGGTCGGGCACTAAGTTTTTTCTCGCGAACTGGCTGCTTATTTGGCACATTGAACAATGAACTGCGCGATTCGTCTACGAATTCTGACTAAGCTGCCTTGCAGGTAGTAGGCGCAATGTTGTGTGCTATCCTCGCTCAGTTGATATACAGCACCACGACTTTTGATTTTATTCAATTTGTTTTCACAACCTTTTGCTCTAAGTTGAGTATGTTTTTGCGCACAATTTTTACGTTCATGACTTTTTTCTGAGCAGCTCAGCTCTGAGAATGAGTTAATTCTAGGACCTTCCTCCCAATTCATCTATTACCACTGTCAAGCTCTCAGCTTGTAAGATAAATGAAATTTTTTGAAGTTCACAACAACTTGCGCCAACCTTTCCATTGTGCCCGGTCGTGGCTGCCGCATTAAACGTTTCAGTACCTATCGGTAATTGTCTTATCGTTAGCGGACTTCAGTTGTCTTGTGAAAGTTCTTGCAATTATATTGAAAAGTAAATTTCTCAAATCATTGTTCTGCTTATCGTTATTATCCTCAAATATTTTTGAAGTTGTCGAATTAGCTTGAGCAATGATCTACGTTCATTAGTTATTGTCGTTATGAACCATTTAATATGCATAATTTTTCCATAGGGCATATTTTAGGGAAGAGGAATCCGTTATGGGCAGTTGAAGAAGTCGCAATATCTGGATATAAGTACTTATGAAGGTCATCCATGGATATTTAGAGAGTCAGGAGTCGGTGACTTACTTATAGGACAGCCTGGTCGGATAAGTGTTCGTTCTTAAGATTTTTTTACATGCTTTCCATTTTTTCAACAGCAGCATTTCAACTGTTAAGCGCTCCACTTTGTTCATAGAAAAGTATTGCAGTCAAACTTGCACTCATGATCACAACTTGGTCCCTAATCCATCCCGTTTTTAGCGGTATAGGTTAGGTAGCGAGACAAGGAACATACTTTCAATGGGTGACTAGCAAGTGATAATCTTCGATGGAGGATTAGTGGAAATGCATGACAGCCTTCCACCTACAGAGCCTCTTCTTTTTGATTTGTCGACCAAATGCTGCTTGCACGTCTTATGCTTATCATGTCAAGTTTACTCGATTCGCAAAAAAATCATTTGCGATTTCCCATTGAGCGAGCTTGCCATTATTAAGAAGCGGAGAGGCGCACCCACCCGGTTATTTCTCCGGTAGGCACCTTTAGAAGATACATTGGCATGATGTAGCTTTAAGAACTCATTTGATTCTGTAACTCAACGGAGGTGCTGCTCGTTGAAAAGTGATCAGTTGATCACCTTTTCTTTGCTTGCCACACCTTTTGTTGTGCTCGTTCTATTGGATCCCTATTTCAGGTGTATTTTCCAAAGCGAGAGAATATCAATGTCATAAGTCGGGTTTGCGTCCTAATAACGTTTCCGTGTGAGTTTTGTTTTGGTAAGCGTCATTTAAAAGTTCGCATTAAACACATTTGTTGCTCGAACAGTTGTCTCTTTTATGCTTTTCTATTTTTAAGACAATTTCGATCTGTCAAATCCATAGCCAGGCGTTTTCAATTTTTTGTGCTTTTCTCTAACAAACATCTTACTTTTCAGTGATGTCTCTAAGAGACTGGGCTGTGCGTGCTGTTGCAAATTTTGTGGAAATCGCTCCATATGCTTTACTGACGTTACCTATTCCAGCCAGTCAAATTGTTAGTTTTTCTTGTCTATTGAACCCATGTGCATCGAACTTCCTCATTTCTCGATTGGCTTTTTTCTCCTATATGAGAATATGGCTTGTTTTATGTTAAAGCAACAGTCCCAGCAGGGTCTGCTTCTTTCACTAATGGCACTAAAGGATGCACAGGCCCTATTGGAGAACATCTGAAGTGTAGTTATAAAGAAAACTCACCTGGGAAAAGCCAAAAAGGGCGTTAAACTCCTCAAAGATGGGTGTGGTTGGAATTTCTTCGGGACCGCCCACTTGCCAGCCGTGATTGGCTACGGAGGCATTCGTGCTCGTTTTGGGACCACAGGGAGTATTTGAACTCTGTCCTTTAAAGTAATCAATGTGATCCTGCCTGTTGCACTGGAATTGTTTTTTTTTGTTGTTGTGATGTTGTTATGTTATGTATAGTGTTATGTAATTATGTTAGTGTTATGCAACTGGAGCGCATTTAGTGCGGGCAAGTTCAGACAACTCGTCCAACGCGCGTCTTCCCACATCGCTAAGCGGCAGAAGGGGAGTCCCTGTTTAAAGCCCTGTTCGGCGTTTTTCTTTGGTTTTTTCGTCACTATCGGTCAAATTGTCGCCTATAACTACATTATCAACGGTATTTACCCCGCAAATTCGTCCTGGGATTGTTGCTTTAAGTCGCAAATCGCAGCATAGCTTTGCCATGATCTATACCAGTTTTTTTTTCGAGAGCCCTCTTTTTCGACGCTAACATTTCTTCCTTTTTTACTTGGATGTTTGCATCTGCAACGATTCAGCCAAACCACCCCTATTCGCATTTTTGTTGGGCATTCGTTATTTTCAGGGCAGTCTTTACCTGACCAGCAAAACCGAAATCTTTTCAGAAAGTCGTGCAAAAGTTTACTTGTTCATCGACTTCAGTATGTCAGCATGTTTGAACCAAATCCGTTGGTGGGACGGCGTCTTCGAGCCACAGTTCGGCGTTACATGAATGTGAGATGTCTTCTATTTCCAGCTTGATCAAGACAGTGGTATTTTTAGCAAGTGGTTACAATTTGCTTGCTTACTTCAGCCTTCACTTCCGATGCCTGAATCCGTTATACCTCTCATCTGGAGAATGTTGATCGAGAGGACGAACAATGACAAGAAGATCGAAGAACGCCGCAGCGACCTAGAAGCATTCGTTGGCTCGACTGGCACAACAAAAGAAGGAAGAAACAGCTGGCGATTTGGAAAAGGCTTCCTCTCCTCAGAAGCCATTTCAAATAGGTTATCCGTTAGTTATCCGGAAATTTGGGTTTATGCGTCATACTGGCTCAATCTGCTGGCAAGATTATCAGAAAAAATCTTTCGACTTACGTTATGTATGAAATTCGCCTCCGATATCATGTATGGTAGGTTACGTTCTACAGTATGCACCTTTTTATTCTTTGTGATTTGTTTTGCATACTAGAATCTAATGTTATCCTCTATGGCACAGTAGAATCTACTCTGATATATTTGTGGATCTTTTTGTTGCGTATCCTTTTTCGCGCCACCTTTGTGAGGGGGCAGGAAGTGCCCAGAAATGCGCCTTTAATTGATCGAGTGGGAACAATTTCAGCAATTGGCGTACAATTAAAAATGCGGGTTATATTGGATCTTGGACCTCTGCAATAAACCCTTTCTGTAGAAAACCGATTCTTTCATCAACAGAAGAAAAAACCACCCAGAAACCTCAATGCAGACAGATTGTTCTGCTCTTTAGAATGCATCCTTATTTTCACTACAGCTAATGCTCCAGCCGTCGTGCTGAGTGAGCTTCCGAACCGGTTTAGGCAATTTCAAAGTGAACTGCCCTATCCGCTGTCAGAGGACTTTTAGGAAGTTCCAAACAGAAGCGTTGTACGCTTCCTGCCAACATGATGGTTGATCGTCTATGGCGATATTCCTAATCCTCCAAATTCTGTTAAGTTCACGTGTTGGACGAGGTACGGGCGGTAAGTGGTGTAGTGGCAAGTGGCACGCTCACCACGCGAGCGGTCCGGGGATCAAATCCTGGGTCGTGAGTCGCCCGGGCCAACCAAGCCTTCCATCCCTCCGGGGTCGGTTAATTGGTACCAGACTTGTCTGGGAGGATAAAAACACTGACTTGTACATCGGCTGGCCCCCGCAAGTCATTGTATAGGCCACATCGCATTCAAACGCCTACGAATGTACAAATGGAAGTAGAATGCGTGCCGCATATCCCAGGACGGGATCGATCAGCAAAAAGCTTTTTCATGGGACGAGAAGGGGATGCGCATGGTAAGGTGTGTAACAAGGCAAACGCATTCTTGTTTAAGTGTGTACGCTAAATTACGACTAGAATGGTAGAACTGCTTTATTGCTTCTGCTTTGCTCTTCTTAAGCTAGGCGCCGTCGCCGTTGTGAGATTATAGGAAGTGAAAAATAGTTTGACGATATCTGTCATTTTCGCATGGACACATTGACGACAAACCGTTGTGTGTGCTCCTTGGCATCTCTTCTTGATATATTTTTTCAAAGCCAGCACTACCCCATCACTGAATTCGTTACTAGTACTAAATAATTTTCTGGATTCATTAGTGTAGACTGGCAAGTTTTTTAATATAACAAATGCTAGGTAAGTCTAGCAAAACGATGCCCATTTGTGTGAAAATCTCACGCGTATGCGTGTCCTGTTGTCAATGTGATCACACGTTGATGACAAGCTGACGCGCATGCGTTTCAGCATCCTGGTACCAATTTTTTCCGCCCATGCCCGACTTCTTCCCAATTTTTTTGTACTCATTCTATAGGCCATACATTAGCATACTCAAAACCACATGGCTCACAGAATGGCCAAATATTCTTTAATTTGGCAGAGGTTTTCGAGGCCTCACGCAAGCGTCTGTCAGTTCACTCGTTTTCAGACGGCGGCGCTCGCAAAATCGTTCTGGTCCCACACAGCCGAAAAAGCCAAAACGCGCGATATGTCGTCAACGTCCAAAAATGCTTCGATTAGTTCGAAGTTCCATGACATTGCCTGTAACGAAAATTGGGGGGTGTTAGGGTAAAAAGGTAAACCATCTGCTTGAATGAACTTCCACCCCTCCTTTCTGTTCTTCATACCCATATCATTACTTATATCATATAAATCTTGCCATTTGCTAGCGTACCTATTTCTGTACCCTTTGTACATACTTTGGTAACACTCCCTTATGTTTCTTTGTAATTTGAAGAAGTAGTGAGGGAATGTGTTCATAATTCATTGAATATTTGAATCTAGTCAATCCTAGTAAATGTCTTATTTTCCTTCTAGTAGTGAAGAGATTGCTGCACGTTCGTGTAAAGCATGATTTCACTGTTCCAGTCGAGCTTTGAGAAACCGCCGTACCTCTGTTACTTGCTCACTTATCCAGCAACGATAAGCTTATATATTCCCGCCGATATCTCTTCAGATATTAATGTTCAGATAGCAGCTGTCACGTGTCTCTTTCGAACGATCCTTTGCCCTTTGGGCACCATCACATTATGTACATCATCCATTTACATCGCACGTTGACCTACCAAACCGTGCTTAGCAACCACTGCGCTACAAATATGTATTGAAGACATTTTCAAACATTAAGATGAAATTATGAGCAGTGCTTTGGATTTTTGTAGGTCTTTCATACTGTTGGTTGTTATGGCTGCTTTATATCGAATCCATGTAATGCCTTGTCATGCTCAGAAATCCTGATACCCAGGATTTACTTTCAAAAATTGTGAATTTGTACATATGTATGAAATAAAAAAAGATATTGATCTTTGTGAATTTGAATGAAGTTAAGCATGGAAAGCTAGTAACGACTGTCCTGAAAGCACAAGCGATGCAGTAGAATGGCAGCACTACTACAACAGCCTTGTCTCCTAGCCATCATTGGGTCTGGGATTGGGTTTTTTTGTATTCGCGGTTTATGTGCTGTGATGGAAGCTTTTCACAGAAATTCGACCGTATACCGTGTATAGATTTTTATACCTATGCGCTCCCGTGGTGACAGAAGTGACGGTCTCCTTTACGTGCCGTGATGTTCTCAGTGCTGCACATGGAGATTCGACTCAAAAATCCAATTAGCTTTTCTTTTTTCTACTTTCTCAGATATTGCCCTGATACATTTAGACACACATTTCATGATATTAGGACGTGGGTAATAGGGTTCAAATGTGTAACTATACGAAGTGATTAA